CATATATCAGGCTTCACATAAGATTTCACTTGACAAGGGGTCCTTGAAAACATTTTAAAACCACTGATCTTATCCAACATTTTTGTTGTTCATGTGGGGAAAGAGAGGCCCAAAGAGGAGAAGGGACCATCTTAAGGTCACACACCTCACTCCTGGCTCAGGGTCCTAATTGGGAGGTGACCCATCCAGTACTTTGAGCCAGACAAGGGGTACAGACAAGGGGTGGCCCTGAGATCAGCAGGGCGTTTGACTCAGGATATCCTGAGTGGGGATGAGGGCCATCCTGAGCTCCTCAGGCCTGCACCTAGAGACCACCCATGGCCACTGGCTGACCTTGAACACCAGTGCATGGAGTCCACATCACTACGCTGGCCAGCAAAGCCTTTGGTCCTCCCACACCCCAGGACCAGTAGAGGCCAGTGCAACCTCTAAACACTTGCAGAGTGGAAGGAAGGACTTGCTTGGACACTCTGAGCTGGTCTTGCCAAGGTGACCAAGCCTTCGGAGATGGAGCGATCGGATGGCCCAGAGATGACCCAAACTGGAGCAAGTCCACCATTACTGGCCGCCACCTGCTGTCCTACAGGCTAAGTGGTCTGCATCAGAAGGCAGCCCCACATGGGTTAGTCCTCAGGCCCATATCTTCTAGACAGGGTTTCCATGCCTGAGGAAACCGCATGCTGTCTGTCTTACAGCACAGCCATGCGGAGTTCCCACTTCTTCCGGCACCTGCTGGAAGAAATCTGAACACCGAAGCCTCTGCTGCTGAGCCCTCATGCTCCTGCCAAGGGTTCCTTGTGGGGCTCCTTCCCAGCCTGAGTCAGGGTAAGGTGGTGCATTGGCCCTAAGCCTCAGAACCTGAGCCAGACTCTTCTTAGAAGCCTGTGGAGCCCAGCTATCCATGCATGCCAGAATGAATGGCAGTAGACGACACCTCAGACCCTTCAGTCCCCTCCAGTGACAGCAGTGGACAGCCTTCTCCACGTCAGCTCACTGGCTGGATCTAAGCAGTGCCTGAAAGCCCCAGGTTGGGGGGGCTTTCAGGAGGGTGAGGGGCTGTTGGCAGTGTCTCCCAGACTTTTTTTTTTGGATCCTCTGAACCCTATTGGTTATTCACAGACTTGTAAATGCCCAAGCCCTTCATTCCTACTAGATCTTGAGCTCTTCATGAGCAAGGGACCAGGTCTTGATTGATTCTGGAACCCTTCACCAAGGACGGGTCCTGGGACAGAGGATGTGCCCAATGGGTAATAATGAATGAGCTGGTCAGTGCACACTTAGGGTTACCATAGGGTGGAGAGGCTGAACGCATGGGCTCTAAGATCCCCTCAACCCCACCCACCCTCTGCTTTTATCTCTAACAAATGTTTGTTAACTATGCTATGGATAGCCAATCATTTGATGGTGATTAGCTAATGAGCCATAGGAGCCAGCCTGAGAAAATGCCCACTTATTTCTAAGAATGATTTTTTTTTCTACTAGACTAGCAAACTGGCCTTCCCCTCTCCCCCCACCACACTGCCCTATGAGAATGAGGGAAGGAGAGGGGAGTGGGATCCCCTGTGTGCTCACAGGACTTAAGTCTGAGGCTCCTGGAATGACTATTGAAGGGCAGCCACGTACCAGGTGTTCGGGGGATGTTTACATCCTAACCTGCCACACAGGCTCCCCTTGACACCCCACCACCTTCGGTCCCAGCGGGTTATCAGGTCAAAATTTGATGAGACTATGCTTGAGAATGGTGAACCCAGGCCAGGGGCTCAGAGTAAAGCCCTCCACCTGCATCCACCACTTCTGAGTGAAGTGACTTAGTGATAAATCGAAATTGGAGGGTAGTGAGTCAAAAAGTGGAATGGGGATTCCAGGTCCTAAGGGGCAGTGTCCGAATTCCCCAGCGACCAGAGCGACAGAGAGGTGAGAGTCGGGAGAGGAGATCCGGAAGGCCTTGCCAGCCAATTTAAGGAGCTCTGGCTTCCTTCTTAGGGCAACGGGTGTTTAAGCAGGAAATCGAGGTAGTCAAATATGTGCATGGAAAGCTCAGAGCAGCAGGTAAATGGCCCATCTGTCACACCCATGGCCTGAGGACCCTGGTATTCAGGACCAGTAACTCCAATGTCCCAATCAATTCCACCTCCAGCCCCAGGAAGTCCTCGATGAGGACTTGAGATGGCTTCACCTAAGCTCTGGAGTCAGACCACTTGGGTTAAAAACTTAGCTTCATCATTCATCAGCTGTGTGGCTTTGAACCAGTGACTTTACCTCTCTGTGCCTCTTCTCTTGCCTCTGTAATGGGCATGTTGAGTTACTGTGGGTCATCATTAGACAGCGTGTCTCAGGTGTCCTACACATGACAGATGCTGAGTGTATGTTAATCCCTGTTCCCTGTCAGCTCCCGTGTCCCTGAAAACCCCTGTTCCAAATGGCCTCATGTCAAGTCCCACCTGAGTCCCCCAGAGGCACTTCTCCCAGGAAGGACCCCAGCTCGAGGGAACTCTGGTCTCCCTGCAGCCGCTGACACTGCTTGGCTTCTCCGTCCTGATGCTTATGAGTGGCTGTTACTCATGTGGTGTGGATCAGGCAGCTCTGTGGCCACGTGACCCCTGGGCGGAGGTCTCGCCACTCACTGCCCCACTCATCACCACCCCCCTCACCGGTTCCTGGACTGCACAGGGAGCCAAGAAGCTGAGGTAAGTGCTCAGAGGGGATGAGAAACTGTTGGGTGAGAATTCGACACCTACCTTCAGACTCCTACCCACCCGTATGATCGTTGACTTGGCCATGCTGGGAGAGATTGAGGGAATGGAAATCCGGGGGGAACTGACGTCCACTTGTGTGTGGCCCTGGTCAGAGCAACCCCCTCTGGGTCTCCATTCCTCATCTGTGAAGTGTTCAGAGGTGGCCTGCCATGACCATTAGGGACGTTTCCACCTGAAATTCTCTAATGGATAGGAAAAGAATTGGAACCCCAATCCCCAACCCACCCCCGACCAAAACCAAGTGAAATACCCAAGCAAATCAAGACCAAGTGAACAACTCAAGCAAATCAAGACCCTAGGAGAGGTCTGCACCCCTTCCAAGACACTGCCAGGCTGAGTGAAGGGTATGTGATGAGGTAGCTGCCAGACAGCGCCCAGCAAGGGTACAGCTGGGTGGGGCACCCAGACCCATCAGACCCCTGCCTCTGTCTCCAGCAGATTCAAAAAGGACCCCAGGAAGGACGTGACCATGGTCTGCATGAAGGGCAGTGGTGGGGGCAGGGGCTAGGGACTCCACATAACCAGATTCAAGGGTCATGAATACGGCAGGATCCACAGAGACGGTTCCATGTTGGTGAACCCCCTGGAGGTTGGGCTTGTCTTAGGTCAGGGCCTTTTATGCTAATTCCTCCTGAGAGCTGCCTGCCTCCCCCCAACCAACAGGATCTGAGGAGGGGCAGGATGGGGTGGGCGGAGCAGTCCTGGCTTTAACCCAGTGAGAGGACAGCCTGCACCTTGGATGGATCCCTGAGACCAGAGGAGCCAGGGCTCAGGCTCACCCCACCTCAGCCCAGCCGCAGAAGGCCCGACCAGGGGCCCAGAACTGAATTGCGACACTGCTAGAGGCAATAAAAACCCAAATTCATGCTTTATGTCCAAAGTCAGCTTTTTATTATCAAGGGCCAGGGCCCAGGGAGGGGAGGGTGCTGAACTAAAGCAGCATTTCTCTCTTTCCAGGAATGTTGCGAGCTGTAATGAGAGCTTGAGATGTTGCATTTTTTTTCAATTCAAGCATGTGTTTTTCAAAAATATCATCCTTCCCCACCCCCCACCCCACCACTAATTTTAGAATCAGACCAAAGCCAAGCTACTGTCCTCTGTTTCTGTTGGGAAAATACTATATTTATTCGAGATGCAGAAGTGCGTCTCTGCAAACCTCCGATTGCTTCAGGAAAACAAATCTGCTTTAGACTATACAGAAACCATGATACAAAATTTATTTCATGCTAGAATCGCTTTGCATAACATTGGGCATGCAGTTTTTTTTGTTTTTTTGTTTTTTAAACTCTGAAGTACTAAATTGCATACAATGCCGGGTTGTGCCTTGATAAAGGTGGAGGAGGACTGGCCCTCCCACAGTCCTGATCTTTTTTGGTGCTCTGAAAGAACACTTGAAAAATCCATACGGTGTTGATTATCTACTATGAACACTTGGTTATGAAAGTTGGTCACACTGAATCTACACACTGCTAAGATGATTGAATCGACCTAGACTAGCCGCTGTCAGGGGTCTTGGGGAGACGTCCGCTGGGTCACAAGCATGCCAAACAGAGGGAAGAAGGCGGCAGTGCGTTTCCATAATTCTATTTGGAGCAAAGTTTTCAGTTTCCACGTGAGAGATGAACTATGAAGGTGAGGTCAATATGACCAATGACTGACCGACTGCCCTTTTGGGAACCTTTACTCTAGATCTCCATGTACAAAAGGGAAGCAATCCATTACTCATTTCCACTCCTTCCCCCACCCCGCTCATTCCCCTCCCCCCAAAAAAAACGTACAGGTTTCTACCGAACGCATTTACAGTTTGGCTCCAACAACATGTATAAAAGGAAAGAGCTTTGAAAGAAAATAGAGGACTCTTGCTTGTTTTTCTTCATTGTTGTCATGGTTTAGGGTAATCATACAGTTGCGGGGGGGTTCGTGGGTTTGGATTGCTGGGTTTTCTGTTGAACTTCATGCAAGTCATGCTAAGGAGCCCCTCCATCCCACCCCCTCCCCGAATAAATTAAAAGTTGGTTTTTTTTTTTTAAAAAAAAAAAAAGGAAAAGAAGGAAAAGAAATCCTCTACGGTCAGTTACCATTTGGCCGTAGAAAAGCTACGTCCGTCCTAGTACAAGGCCTGGGCCACTCGGACTCGTCCGGCAAACCTGCATGGCGTGAATTTACTCTGTCCGAGGGCGAGGAGGGGCTGCAGGTCCACCCAGATGCTTAATAGCCACCAGTGTCCTGGGCCAAGTCGCCTGGTCAAGTCACTCTCACAGCCTCTGTCGGCATATACTTAGCAATGACAGGGCTTTCTTTGCAAAGATCTGTATGTAAAGAATACAATTAACACTTGAGCTTCTCTTCTTGGCTTTCCCATCCCGCTTGGTACTTAGTTTTTAAGGAAGGAGGAGGAAAGACTGAACAGCCGCATGCAGAGGCAGGCAGGATCTTCTCCAGCTGGCTTGGTTCTCCCATGCAGTGAGCCAGCCCAGCACGCCTCTTTCTCTCCCTCCTGGGGGAATGGGTTGAGCCCCTAACTGTTCTCTACCCTGCACACAGCTCATGGCCTGGCATTATCCTGAGAAAAGCAAGTCCTCAGCGGCTGTCATGACTCCATGAGAGCGGGACCAGGTGGATGCGGGTGGGGTCACCCCACCCTTGGTGCCTCTGGAGGACTGCAGAGTGGGTATCACCTGTGGAGAGTGGTTGCCATCGGACTCCTTGCTCCCTACCGGCTGCTTCTGTCCCACACACCCTGGGCTTCTGGAAGCCCAGTCAAGGAACTCTGCTGTCTGCTCTTTTAAGCCACACAGATAGATACAACATTCAAGATGAGGGAGACAGGCAGCCCCATAAGACCTTACCAGCAGAGCGCAGCCATGGGGAGTGGTCTACGTGCCTTCCTCTCCCATCCCCTGGCCTTGCCCCTGATCCTGGATTTCTAGAGCCTACACTTGGGAGAAAGCCGGTTGTGAAGGGGAGCTTCAGGCCTATCCATGGAAGCTGCTGAGGACAGGGCAGGCAGCCCCCAGGCCGGCAGCCCCCCTTCCATGCAGCACCATGCGGGGCGTGGTATGCCGCGCTGGGGTCCACAGGACCTCCAGGCAGGGCAAGGAAGCAGAGGCCAGCCTGGATCAGGAGAGCACGCCAAGCACCAGAAAGACTTCCCCCGTCTCCATGTGGGCTGCCTCTCCTCTTCTGGGTTTGCCCTTTATTTTGAATTCTCTGTTTTCTCCTCGCATATTATTGAACCATTTCAAATACTGGAGCAGTTGTGAATGGCCACCAGCTACACCAAATGTTGCTCTAAAAAACCAACTATCTAGCCCAACCTGCTCACCCCAGTCAGCATGCAACCATCCTGTGTGAGCCTGTGAGCCGCTCCCCAACATGCATGAGCCGCCCAGCCAGCCCGCTATGCCGAGGGTGGCTTCCTCCGCCTTCCAGGCCCTTCCCGGTGTCTGGAGCCTGGATCTAGGGTGTGCTGGGTCCCCGCCCCAAACCTCTCCCCAGTCCATGCTCAAGCTCTAGTGGAAGCCTTGTCCCCAGGAGGTCGGTTTATAAGACAAGGGTCTGATTCAACCGTGACCACCACGGGGCTCTGCCTTCACCAACCACAAGGGGTAGCTGACCACACCTGGGGCCGTGGCTAATGGGTGCTGAGGTTGGAAGGGGTTGCACGGAGTCCTACATAACCACCTCCTCTTGGCTAGTTTCATATCTGCCACTTGCAGTGTTCTGACTGGTACATACCTTACCTCTGCAAGGACGCTGACCTCACTGCCAAGCCTTTAAGCTATCTCTCTTGTCATGACACCCCGCCTCCCCCAACTGGTCTATGGATTCTCTTTAAAGGATGCCTCTTCCAGAACATGGCTTTTGGGTGGCTAGGCCCACAGGGTCCTGGCCAGCCCATGCCTACCCTGTTGCTCTCCCCAGCCAAGGGACAGGAGAGATCACTTTGCCGATGGCGTCTGAGCTGCCATCTGCCAGAGTAGCCTGGGGGAAGTACAGGATCTTCCCACATCTCTGGGTAACCCTCTGTCTTGGGGGAACGTAGTCGGCCAGCCTGTCTCCAAGTCCCCTCCTACCCCTGAGCTCCATTCCAACCCATAGCTGCCTGGACCTCAGGTTCTCTCTGCCAGCCTGCCGTCCCACTCGGGGAGGGTGGGACTCAGACCTCCGGGGGCCGACCCTGGGGCTCCTCCTGCTCCCTGCCCCCGCAGTGTGCCTGCCTGCCCCTCGGCGCCCCTCGCCCGCCACCCCGCCCACCCATGTGCAGGAGCACGAGGCAGGCCCGCTGACGCAGAGCACCCCGGCCTCCTCTACATACCCTTTCTCACTCCTCCACCAGGTGGGCACGCGTACTCCCCAGTTGATAAGAGGAAGCAGGGTCCGTATCTCTCGCGGGTGCCCGAGCGCGTAAAAGGCAGGCCCTCATCGGGAGTGAGGGCCTGGTCTATGTGGGGGCAGTCTTCGTTCGCCAGCGCGGCCTTCGCCACCTCCCCATTCAGTTTGGAATCTTCAAACATATAAGCAGAAGCTATTGAGACACTGAAAACTGTTTAGTGCGGGGGGGGGACAGGCCGGAGTGGGACATCAGCAAAGGGCAGCCCGAGACTGAGGAGAGAAACGTGAGCGGGAGAGGCACGAGGCTGGGGGTCCCCAGCTCGTTCGGGCAGCCTTTGGGCTGCCCACAGTGCTGGGGAGGAGGGTTCCTGGGTTTGCTCAAAGTTTGCAAAAAGATGAGTAGGTGATGGGCCCAGCAAGCGCGGTGCTGGGGGGCTGGGCCCAGCGTCCAAGGCGGGGCCAATGAGACAGGATGGTGTGGATGCGGTCATGGGTAGAGGGCCAGACACAGCACTCGGGGAGAAGACAGACAGACACGCAGAAACACTCCTGTCCAGAGCGGCAGCCTTTTCTGATCCCTCTGCTGCTGACCAGAACCCGGCTGCCCCCCCTCCCACATCCAGCTGTCTGCTCAGGCATCCCTGGGCCCCACCAAAACCCCAAGGGTCAACTCTACCCCAGGCCTCGTGTGGGGCCTCTGGCATCTGCTTCATGCTCTTCCCCCACCACACCCTATCTGATCACTCCATCCCACTCCCATATGGACCTCATCCAGTTACTCTCGGTGCTCCATCCCCCATACAGCCTAGGCCTGGTCACGCAGTCTCCTGGTCCCCCATGCAGTTGACCACTGAATCTGCTCCCTCTCTGCACAGACTTAAGCTGGTCACTCAGTCCACTCCGGTCGCCACCCAGACCAAGCCAGGGTCTTCCACCCCGCTCTGCCTCAAGCAGGCCTCGTCAGCTTGCACAGGCGCAACAAGAATGCAGGCATGAGGCAGTGACAGCGGCCAGGGTTTGGGAGGGGCTCCCACTCCTCCAGTCTCCTCTTGGCAGCGTCCCCCGCAAAGCAGAGCAAATGGATGTGTAAAGACAACAGCGGCTGATGGACTCGGGTGGGAAAGACGAGTCTTGGCCTCTGCAGTAGCCTGAAGAGGAAGCTGGGAAGAAGTTTGGGGGCACATTTAGTGAGGGCACAGCTCTGGCCAGAGCAGGGCACTCCCCCAAATCCAAGAGCAGCATCGTGGATGCCTCTGGAGCTGGCAGAGGGGGCTCTGTCGGCCTCTGCCCCCACCCATCACTCTTAGGGACCCCTCCCCTGCTTTCTGCCCTCCAAGCAGACTCTTCCTGGTTAGGGTGGCGCCGACTCAGTCCCCAGGGTGGGCCCTGGTGGTGGTAGTGGTGGTTTAGTCGCTAAGTCGTGTCCGATTCTTGAGACCCCATGGACTGTGTAGCCCACCAGGCTCCTCTGTCCATGGGATTGTCCAGGCAAGAATACTGGAGCGGGTTGCCATTTCCTTCTCCAGGGGATCTTCCCAACCCAGGAATCGAACCCGTGTCTCCTGCATTGCAGGCAGATTCTTCACCGACTGAGTTACGAAGGAAGCCTGAGGTTTCCTCAAAGACTTCCTCCAGGGTGAGAGCCTCAAGGGCAGACCCAACGTGGGCGTGACCACAGGGGGAGGCCCTCTGAAAGGCTAAAGAGGGGCAAAAAGCTGGAGAGAGTCTCCACCCGATTTGACCCTCTTCCGTGACCCTGTTCACATCATGTAACTACACGCAGAAGTGATCCTTCTCCGTGTGCACACACTCGGCGTGCCCGCGGGCGGGACCACCACCCGTGTACACATCATGTCACTACAAAGAGGCAGTCAGTCAAAAGAGAAATGGACCAATCAGGTTTATTCGTAAAGCAAATCCAAAAAAAAAAAAAAAATCCCATCATAATTTTGGAACTTAAAAAAAAAAAGTCTGTTGTACAAGATGGCAAAGCATTTCATGTACAGTGTGTTTCTTGACAAATCCCAGGGGCTTCACTCCCCAATTCACTCTGAACCAGAAAGGCCAGTTACCAAGGTAACTCTGATAACCACGTGACTGGGGTTGGGGCCTCTCTGGGGAACTGGGGGCTGCCTAACCCTGGGGGTGTGTCTGAGAGCACACAGGTGTGCACGCAGACCACCCCGGCCCTGCCTCCCAGTCTGGCTGGCCCTCCCAAGGGTCTCTGGAGAGAGGGGAAGGAAGTTTAAGGGAGGAGGTAGTGGATAGGGGGATGGAAGTTGGAGCCCATAGTACCCTGTACACATTTTCTTCTAGGGGAAAACAGTGAGTCTTACCAGGCAGCACCTCCATCTGCAGGGAGAGCCAGAACTTGCGATCTCTCTACTGGCCATCGCCTGTCAGCGGAGGTATCTACCACCTGCAGGGCTCACCCAGGGTTGGGTAGCCGAGCCTGAGACCCTCCGTGTGACTCTGCTCCCCAGCGCCGTGCCCCTGGGGCAGCCAGCTCCCACACCCTTTAGAGGACCTGAAGTTGAGGCTGGTTTCCCTGCAGGGGTCGGGCCTGGGGGCAGTTGAGTGGGCTGCCTGGGTGGGTGTGAGCCAGACCCCCTTCCCTCCTTGGAGCCTGCTTCTTCTCCCAAACATGACCTCTGAGAAGAGGCCAAGCCTGGGTGGGAGTGTTTGGGTCCTGCTCTCTGAAGGAGCCAGCCTCCCTGGGCTGTGGGCTTCTCTGTGATGTGGGGTGCTCTCAGAAACTGGGAACCATATGCTCCCTCCCCAACTCCAGAGGAGGGCTGGAAGAGACTGGCCAAGGAGCAGCCAGCTCACCAAACCTGAGGAATTCATGAAAAAAGCCAGAGGCGCCAGCTCACCCAAGACTGCCCCCTCATACCCTGACCTTGTCCTTTAGATGAGATGGTCACCAGGTCCCTCAGCTCCCACCTGCTCCCCAGAAGGCAGGGAGCCCTGCCCTCCCTGGTCCAGGGCCCCTCGGCCCCCACTAGACCCGAGGGCCTGCGGTGATGAAATGGCAGCATGGGCAGCGTCTCACAAAGATGGTTTCCAGGCTTTGAAATGGGCTGAGAGAGATGAGCATCCGCGAGAGGGTCATTTTTTTTTAAACTTTGGAGCAAGGAGAACCCGATGTCAGGCTGGCTTGTGTGCCCTGGTCTCCAGGCACCACCAAGGTACTTACTGTTCACACCAGCAGCGGGCGCTGGGGGCGCACGCAGGGCTAGGGTGGGGCAGGTGGGGTGGCTGGGAGTTTCCTTGGGTTTAGCCCCCCAGAGGGGGGCTGCCCAGCTGGGGACTCAGGGGAAAAGCCCCAGGTTAACTGGGGACGGTCTGTGAGAGACACGAGCTGAGTACAATCACGAGAACCGGCACAAGTCATGCAACAGAACGAGGAGAGAGAGAGAGAGAGAAACATGATTAGTGGAGAGAGAGAAAGAGAGAGCATGTGAACAACACAGAAAAGAACACCCAGTCCTGGCCCTCAGAGCCCCTTATTTCTCCGCTCCTTCCCCCTTAGCCACCTGGGGGCCTCATTGACCCCACTCTGGGCCCCCCGCTGCCCACCCTGGCCCTGCATCTGAGCAGAAACTCGGTTAGCCCCTGCGGAGGGGCCTTGCTCACACCCTACCTGGTCACCCTGTCTCAATCTCGCCACCTCCCCTGCCCCGGGGGGTACACCACTTCCAGCACCCACTGCAGCCAGCAGGGGAGGGGTGGAGGGCCAGGGCGGGGGGCGCTTTGGACTCAGATGCTCAGGGCAGACCCCGGAGGCTGCAGGGGCAGCTCTGTCCCAGCTCAGGGCAGACCCAGGTGGGGGTGCTTTTCAGGACCTCACTGCTGCCCTAGGTGCTCATGGACAGGAAGGGGGAGGTCTGGCCACCACCCGCCCCCTCTGCCAGCCCCCTGCTCACCTATGGTGGGACCCCACAGCCCCAGACGCAGCACCACAGAGGACCAACCCACATCACAGGAGCAGAGATGGACGAGACACACGTGAATGCACATGCCAGGACAGAGGGAGCACTCTGAACTGCCCAGAGCCGGTGGTCTGGGCCCCCGACTGCAGGTCGGGGAGGGACTCCCTTTCTGCGAGAGAAGCAGCTTCTCCTGGACTAAAAACCCAAGTCCCTGACCATGGGGGTGCCATCCTGGCATCCCCCCATGAGACCCTACAACCCCTGCCAGGATGAATCCCCCAAACACTGGGGCCATGTCAGCCATGGTACCGAGGAGACCAGACACTCGACCTGAGGCTGTAAGAGAAACCAAGATGGGAGGGGAAGGGAAGGCGCTGCTGACATGTCTGGGGTGGCTTGCCTGAGTCCCAGGAGTCTGGCCCTGGGCAGGGGGTGCCCTCAGAGTCTGGCATGTTGCACTTCGCCCCAACCCAGGTTCTAAAGGTGAAATTGGAGAACCCAGGTCTCACTGGGCCAGCTGACTGCCCTTGGTGTGGAGTGAGGTTGTCAAGGTCTTGGGGACTGCATCTCAGCTCTCAGTTCCTGCAGGGTCCAGCTTCCCCCTGTATTTGCCTTCCTCACCTCTGGCCTCCCCCGCACTCACTCACTAACACACCCCAACCCCATGCCCACCAAGGAGCATAGCTGCAAGCAGAAAAGGAGGCCAACGGGAAGGGACTCAGGGATGGGGAGACACTCCCTAAGGATCACACACTCTCTGGGTGATAATTTGGTTCTCACACACCAGCTTTCAGAGGAAGGAGGGTTCTGGTGAGGGACCAGACTCAGAGTAGGTCTGGGACGTCAAGACAGCACCGCCAGGAGCAGTGAGAACTTGGGAAAGGGGAGGAGGCAGAGTGTGGGACAGGAGGGAGTGAGGCATCAGGGCCCCAGAGAGAAGGGCTCCAAGTACCTGGCTTAAGCCAGGACAATCTGGATCCCTGAGACCTGGAGCCAGGGCAAAGAGGGTCCCAGGGACAGGGCTGTCATGGTGGTGGGGTGCAGGGGCTCTAGGAGGAGTGCACAGGCTTTCAGGGAAGAGGGCCTGTGTCCTGGGGCTAGCTGGTGTACATATCAAAACACACATCTGCACTCTGTGTGTGTGTGCACATGCATGCATGTGTACATGTGTGTGTGCATGTATGCATGCACCCGTGCCCTCAGCACATGGAGAATACTGGCATTGTCTGGGACTGAAAGATTTGTGCCTGGCTGGAGTGAATCACTGGGGAAGATGGGATGGGGGCCAAGGAGTGCCATGGTGATGCCACTCAGGCTCACCTCTTCCTGCTGAGGACTGGAGTGAAGTTAGGGGCGAGGCCCAACCAGACCCTTTCCCAGAGCCCCAGGAATTTTCCTCGCTGTGATGGTGCTCCTGAGGTCAAAATGATCCAAAGCAGAGAGGCGGGGCAGGGCCTTTCCATGGCCTATGCCTGGCTGGCCAAGCAGAAGCCAGGCATTGGCCTAGGAATCCAGCCCAACCCCAGGCCCTCCCATTCCAGCCTCTGAGACCCCTGCCCTGCCCCTGGCCCAGCCTAGAACACTAGCCACATTCCTCTCAGGTGTCTACAGGGATCCCAGGGAGTGGGGAGGGGTATGGGACCAGGTGAAGGGGCTGGAAAGACCTCAGACAGAGAGGTGGACTTTGGGGGTACCACTCTGGGCAGTACAGCTATGGGATGAAGCCGGATGAGGAGTAGGATGGGGTGGTGGGCCAGAGAGTGGGGCATCATGGAAGAATCAGTCAGCCACTGGGGAGGCCATTCAAACCAGGGGACAACTTGCTCCTCTAGGGCTGAGAGAGCCTGCAGCCCCTACCTCCTGCCCTGGGCACAGGGGTGTCTTCTGCAGACTAAACACTACCTGTCACTCACTCAGCCTCCCTCACCCCGGCACTCCTTCTGAGTTCAGTGCTGTCATGCTTTTCTGGGTCGTTCATTCCCTTCAAATCCCTGTGTCCACAGAATAAGTCGATGGTATTCCATGGGTAGAGGTAGACTATGGGCTTTATATCTTCGGACCAGAGCCCCATGATCAACTTTATGTGCTATGTGCAGGTTCTCATAAAACTGAGATAGTCCCATAACGAACCACTAGCCATGGAATATGAGAATATATCCCACAGTGACTAGTATTGTTTCATGGCCCCCCTCCCCCCTCCCTGACCCCCACTGAATTCACGGGAAAGTGGGCGTACACTGGTTAGGATGTCGTGTATTGCTGCTGCAGTCCCTACTGCCGGAAACAGGGAACACTCTCAGTGGGAGGTTGTTGCTGGTCTGAAGCGCTTTCATCTAAGCTGCCCGGGTGGTGGCCCCCTCTAGTCCTTCGCTCACCAGCCGCTTCCATCAGAAAGAAGGCCACCAGAAACTCCCACTGGACCATCAACCCAAACAGACAACGTGAAAGCTAGAGTCACTCCAACAGGTTCCTAAAGATAAACGCTAAACTCTAGAGTGGTGGTAGAAGATGAGCTGGTTCCGCATGCTGTGGGGTGTGTAAGCTTGTTACGGAGGGCAAGAGGCGTCTCCGAGGACACGCCTGGAGCTAGGCAGCCGGCATCGGAGCAGGAATGCTACTCAGCTATGGAGACAGGCTCTGCGGGGGGGTGAGAATCCTTGCTGCTGTCTCTGCAGGGACCTCCTGCCAGAGCCCAGGCACCGTCCATGCCATGTATACGGCCCAAAGGGAGCCGTGTAAAGACCAAATGGGCAGCTGTCTGGCATTTCCCAATCACACCCACCTCGCCCCGCCGTGACTCTTGGTCAGTGGCCTGAGTCAGCGACTCATGCCCAACTCCTGCCCATCGAGCAGCGGAGCCCCTGGGCTCCTGCTAAGAGAGTCCTCAGCAACCTCGCGGGCCGTGGCATCTCTTCAGAACCCCATGAGACCAGTGTATCAACCTCCTTACCGGGAGCCACCAGTGAGGTTCTAGCAGGCTCTCGCCTAGTGAATTTGGCTGCCCAGCATCTCCCTGGGCCCCCAGACGCCACACCTTGAGACTGAGCGTGGGGTCCAGAGTCACCCACGGAACTAAGGAAGCAGTCTGACTGAATCTGGAATCATTGCTACAGGGGGCAGAGGTGAAAGGTCAGATTGACATGCCTCTAAGAGGTTTCCTACCTGCTCTGTTAATTTCTAAAATTTCTTCCTGGGCCAGCGGGCATGTGTCACTCTGAGTACTGTGATGTGGAGAGTTTACGACAGATTTACAATAATTGGGAGATCCCAGCTGCGGTGGCCGCGGAATATGCTTCTTTTTTTTCTTTGGTAGTTTCTGCTTAGCCATGGCTAAGGAGTAATACATCCCGAAATTGTTCACGATGACGGGCACAGGCATGGCGATGGTCAGCACACCCGCCAGCGCACACAGCGCTCCCACCAACATGCCGGACCACGTCTGCGGGTACATGTCTCCGTAGCCCAGCGTCGTCATGGTGACCACAGCCCACCAGAAGCCAATGGGAATGTTCTTAAAGTGGGTATGCTCACTGGCGCTGGGGTCATTGGGCTGCGCCCCTATCCTCTCGGCATAGTAGATCATGGTGGCGAAGATCAGGACACCCAGAGCCAGGAAGATGATGAGCAGTAAAAACTCATTGGTGCTGGCTCGCAGAGTGTGGCCCAAGACCCGCAGGCCCACGAAGTGGCGGGTCAGCTTGAAGATGCGCAGGATACGCACGAAGCGGACGACGCGCAGGAAGCCCAGCACATCCTTGGCGGCCTTAGAGGAGAGGCCGCTCAGGCCCACCTCCAGGTAGAAAGGGAGGATGGCTACAAAGTCGATGATGTTGAGCGAGTTCTTGATGAACTCCACCTTGTTGGGGCAGAAGACCACACGCATGAGGAACTCGAAGGTGAACCAGACCACGCAGACGCCCTCGATGTAGGTGAGGAAGGCCTCTGTCTCCGCCTCCCGGTAGTAGCGCACTTGCGTGCCGTTCCGCACGTTCTCGATCTCCGTCTTGTTCACGATGGGGTTGAAGCGCTCGTGGGTCTCCAGGCAGAAGGTGGTGATGGAGACCAAGATGAAGAACAGGGAGGCAAAGGCCACATACTGTGGAGGAGAAACACACAGTGTCAGAGGGGAGGCCCTTCCCCCAATGCAGAGAGACTGGGTACCTCTGGGCCAGGTCCAGTCTGGGGCCAGGATGGGCAAGATGCCTGCAGGATGCCCCCTTCTGACATGGGCCAGGCTGGCAGGCCACCGTTCCCTCTTCAGAGCGTGGAGTATGGGGTTAGGAGACCTGAAGGGTTAAAAGGCTGTGGTGGAGATTTCTCTGTTTTCAGAAATGCCTTTCCTTTCTTCCTGGATGCCTGGCTAGACCATAATTTCCCAGCCTCCCCTCCAGGCTGGGTGGTGTCATATGACTGGTCTCAGGCCATCTAACAGTGCACAAAAGGGTGTGCGTGAAGGCCCAGCCTGGCTCACAAAACCTTCCTGCTCAACCTTTCATGCCCTCTCTCTTTCCCTGACTGCCAGTCAAATGCTGAAGCCTGAGGAAGCCAGCAGGGCCACCATAAGAAAGTAGCTGAGTCCCTAGAAAGAAAGACACCTACTAAATACACATGTGGGAAATAAACTTCTACTTTGTTGAGATGCTGCACTCTAGATGTGATTTATTAAAGCATTTAACACCCCACCCCACCACTGATAAAAGTGACCTAGGTGGCTGAGGCTGAGGTTGGCAAAGAAAGGAGGGTGGGGAAGCTATGGTGGAGCCAGGCCCCTCAAAGGCCATATCTCCCATCTTTCTTCTGTCCCTGTGCAAGGCTGTTAACTCTCTTTTTCATGGATCTGTACCTCACGCAGGCAGTCTCTTCATGTTCTATCCTATGTTCAATTGCAAAAGATGTATCTTCCCCAAGGCCTTATACAACTCTTTTACCCACTTCTCTCTATTGTCCCAGGAACTCACATCACGGATTGGAAGTAAGTTACCCATGCTGGAGATACGGAAATAAAAACTAAATGGTCATTTGTCAGAGATACTGTGCTGCAGATTCAGGCATAAGGAAGAGAATAGGACTGGGGTCCTCAAACCCACCATAAACCATAGACAGCTTTGCTCCTGCTGCTGCTGGCTGGCCCCAGGGGAAGGGTGTGGGTGGGAGGAAGGAAGAAGCTGCTGGGGAACCAGGGTTTTCCAAACATAGGTGGGTGCCTGGTCCTTTCAGATCCCCCACCCGGGCGAGAAGGAAATGGCCCGGATAACCCAGTCTTTCCAGAATGGCCTGCTCCGGCCCCGCTCCCCGAGAGAGGTTCAGCAGACTCTGTGGTTTGGTTTGGTCACCCTCACCCCCATCTGATGACGCACTGGGCTTCTCTAACCGCAAGCAAACGTGGGTACCTAGGAAAGAAAATCAAGCAGCTGCCAGAGTTTCAAGCCTTCCTGCTGAGACTGAATTCCAGACAAGGGCTCTTCTTACAGCCTCCAGCCTGGGATCATGGAGCTTTAACACCGCCCTGGGTGGGGGACCCTGGCCAGGGGGTTCTCCTCCAGGAACCCAGCTTTCTTGTTCCTGCTGCTTCCCTCCCCTCTGGATTCCCCTTCTCCCAGCCTGTCGAGACAGACCATGAGTGGTGCAAGGCCATCTCCCTGGAGGCAGCTCTAGGCTACGGTCTAGAATGGGTGGCAAGTTCATTCTCCAGAGCTGCCTTCACAGAAAACTTCATGGAGTGCCAAGGTGCCACCCTTTATCTGCCACAAGAGCTGTGCTGCTTCTAGTAATTTCTTTAGTTTGTACCTCCCCACTTGGTGGTGACCCTGTTTGGGTTGACCATAGCCATGAGACCAGACACCCAACCTAGCACAGATCTAGAAATGAAGAACTGTGTAGACCTTCAAAGACACATTCCAGGTTGAGAGAAAGGGAGAGGAGAGGGAAAGGGACAAAGTCAGCATTTTAGAATATCAGAGTAAGAGCAGCCTTTTGAGATTATCTGGTCCAAGACACTGCGTGCTATAAATGGGAAGTCTGGGGCACAGAAACAGGAAGTGATCTGCCCAAGCCACTCATCATGGCATGCTGGCTCCTGCTGGCTTTAGAGAGTCATGCAATTTTCAAAAACTTGACCCTAGACTATATCGAGTGTGACCCCTCTGCCTTCTTCCTTCCATCCATCCTTCCTTCTTCCCTTTCTTTGTTTCTTCCTTTCTTTCTCCCTTTCACCCATTCATCCTTCCTTCCTTCTACCCTCTCTCCCTCCTTTTTATCCACAAATCCATTCATCCTTCTTTTCTCTCTTCTTCTATTCCTTCCTTTGGTCCTCCTCCCTTCTCTCCCTCTTTTCCATCCAACATGCATTTATTCATTCGTCTCTTCTTCTAACTTTTTCCTTCCTCCCTCCCTTCCTTCCTTCCACCTACCACACTTTTTTCCTTCCACCTCACCGAGCGCCAGGCTATGCCCAGCACGGAGTGCAGTAAGACCTCAGCCCTGCCCCCAGGGAGCCCCCTGCACAGCTGAAGATAAAGAACACACACAGAGACAAGTAAAATGCAGTGGACTGAAAAGGTGAGCCCCCATCAGCCCTGAGAAGTAGGTGGGGTTTGGACAAGGTGAGGGCAGGGCAGGGACTTAAGCCAGCTTTTCTGACTCCAGAAACAGCACTTTAAAGGTCCAGATAGTGCTGACCTGGGACACCACAGGGGCAGGCCAGGAAAGCAAAGTGGAAGCAACTGGAAGAGGTCATCAACTCCAATCCGGGTTCATCCAGCTCCAGCGCTTTTTCCTTTAGCAGTTGTCAAAGCTCTTGGAGCTAAGAACACATCCCCAAATGCTGGGTATTTGGCCTCAGACTTCCTCTGAAGGGCCCCATCTTAGAGCTTGGAATTCACAGCCCAGTCTCCCAGGGCCAGGTCACATTCCTCCCCTGGTCTTTTTGAGAGAGGAGAGGAACACGGACACTGTGAGTATCTAAAGGATGCCAAGAGGCTGGGCCTGCTGCATCTCTGGGCTCCTGATCCTGGCCAGTGGTAGAAGGCAGGAGGCGCTGCCTCTTCCCTTTGCTCCATCAGACATGGCATCCCCTTCTTAAATCGTCCCACAGCTGTCCTCTGTCCCCTCCAGGCACGTGGGGCTTTCTGTCAGTGGGGTCCCTGTCATAAAAGCCAGCATGTCGTAGGCTTCAATCACAGCCACCAGTACAGCATCCACCCAGTTACTGGGGGGGCAAGCACTGGAATCCCGGCTCTCTGTTCGGCCGTCTGGCCATGCTGTCCACAGAGAAAAGCCCTGACTTCACAGCCTAGCACGTGAGGCTCCCTGTGCCCTGACTGCATCGACTTCCCAGGGGCCTCTGCCTGCATGCACCCAACATTCTTGCCACATGCAACCCTCTGCCATCTCTGAGCTTCCATCTCTGTGTCTCTGCACCTGCTGCCCTTTCCTCCTGGGTGTTCCTGCTGATCTCCACGTGGAAAAACCCATCCACCCATCAGTGCCCCACTAAGTAGCCCTTCTGGGACATCTCTCCCAGGGAGACTTCTCCTTGGCAGCTGAGGCCCTTAGGAGGCAGTAAATGAAGTCCCCCCACCCCACTGCCCAAGGAGCCTCTAAATTTCCCGCAGGGAGGCAGCGAGGCTGTCTCCAACTTGTGCTCATTAGTGCTTGGGGAGCCTCACAGAAACAGCCCAGGGAGGGCACTGATGTCCCCGGGGGCTTCTCACTTCCTCCCAGGTGCCCCCAAAGGCCCTCAGAGCTCTACGCCCATTGGCTCTTCTTGCACAACAGGTCCTGACAGGAAAACTGAGGCCCAGGAAGCGGTCAGGTCTTCTAAAATTAGGATAGACAAATCCTGGGTTCTCAGGGATCGGTGGCCATCCCTTTCAGATTTTTTCCTCTCTGGGCCCCAGTGACCAAGGAGTGGGGGTGCTGGGATGGGCAGCAGTGATCAGCCTTGGAGTCAGATACCAGGACCTCTTCCCCAGAGGGGCCGGGGAGGTGGAAGTCAGGCTTCCTAGACTCTGCTGCTGGACCCCAGTCCTTTGTCACAGGCAGGGCCCCAGCAGCGTCTGGGTCCCAGTGGGCCCTTAGGATCGCTGTGGAAGAAAGCACCCCGGCTCGCTCAGACTGCCACAGTCTCCTAAGCCTAGCGGCTAGCAAGTCAGCCCCAGCGCATCAAAGCCAAAGCAAGAGCCCATGGCCAAGCGAGTTCGTAGTGCCCTCCTGCCCATCCTCAGGGAAGCTGAGCCAGGAAGGAGAGAGGAGAAGCTGTCAAAGCTACAGGCCTAGGGCTTCCCTAGTGGTCTAGCCATCAAGAATCTGCCTGCCAATGCAGGGACACGGGTTTGATCCCTGGTTTGGGAAGGTCCCACTTACCGTAAAGCAACCAAGACTGTGCACCACAGCTATTGAGCCTGTGCTCCAGAGCCCGTGAGCTGCAACTACGGAAGCCCGCATACCCTAGAGCCTATGCTCTGCAACAAGAAGAGCCACTGTAATGAGAAGCCCGAGCACCACAATAAAGAGTAGCCCCGGCTTGCCACAACTAGAGAAAGCTCGTGCACAGTAACAAAGACCCAATACAGCCATAAATAAAAATTAAAAAAGAAAAGCTAAAAGGCCTACTGTGCATCTTTAACCTTTCCACAGACCTGGTGTCCAGGTGGTTGTACCTTATTGTGCCAAGAAGGAAACAGAGAGGTTCAGGGACTAAACCAAGGTTTAAGGCTAGTGATGAAGCTGAGGCTTGGACCCAAGTTGATCTGGCTCCATTGTCTAAGCTCTGTCCACCACCAGAGATGCCAAAGATTTGGAGGCTAAAAACACAGCTCTGTGCACTGGGGAGCTGGCCTTGATTGTGTCTGGATGATTCAATCTTGGAGCTTGACACCATAGCTTGGACTCCCTGAGATCAGGTTATTTCTGTCCCCAGTGAGAGACAGAACCAGGATACCTGAATCCACAGGCTGGACCCGAGAATGCCTAAAATGGTCTTGGGCCTCGTTGCCCAGTGCTCACTAGTGCCTGGGGCAGGGAGTCTGCCCCATCTTGCTCGGGGAATCAATGCCGACAGCAGCCTCAGATGGCCCAGCCTGCATCTCTGTCTGG